TGTTCGTCGGGGACTGCGATATTGTGTACATGTGTACAACATAGATATATATTCATGTCAATACACACGTAACTGTTTAAGTTGTAAGTTGTTGTTCATATTAAAACTGAAGACTAGCACCTACTTTGTACAAGCTGCTCCTACAGCTGTAACGCGCGCTTGACGATGCGCCATGGCCCACGGCCTACACTTACACCAAACGGTCCCTCATGTTTGAAAACCACGGTCAGCATCTGGAACCGATGATCTCTATCTACTGGTTGGACATACTCGTATAAGCGCGTTATTTTAATAATTTGATTAAACATGAGATTAAAGTTCAAAATTAAGATCGGTTAGACCTCATTTCATGCCACGTTAATAAAAATTTCAATTGCAAGAAAGGAAATAAAGTAATTTGATCCAATTTTCTCTTTCCACGCCAATTTTGAACAAAAACGTAACTTGAACTAATCTGCCGGGCGTGCTACACGGTCAACGTCCATTATCTGAACAAAGTATTATGTAAATGAACTGTACAAAATGTATAGTAAAATGGCAAAAAAGCCAGCTCATAGACCTGAAGGTAACAAGTGTGTTGACAGTCTTTGAATGCCCCCAGGATTTAGGGCGAGAGGGGAAGATTTGGGCCTCTGGTAATCTTACTCCCTCAGTGAAGTGTAACGAAAGAACTGCTAAACATCGCTTTTCTGTGAGGTCTTGGAGCTTTCACATGTGTGTCGATGCATATCACCCTGACGTATAACGTACACGGTAATATTTACTGTAATTTACTCAAAAGTTGCCTAGAATTTTTTACTTTTTCTGTTAAAACTTCACATTCCTATACAGGGACACGCACATTAACTACTATCATTCTGGACAACGCTGAATACTCGTTGAAGCTCACGTGCGCATATTTTAGTAGCGCCACATTTTTGACGTGTGTGCAATACAAAGTAAAGTTATTAGGTTATCTATGATAAGGTACGGCATGTAGATGTATGCTAAAGTATACCACAAAATATTTAACAAGAAAAGTAATTTTTAAATCGTCTAAACACATATCTAACTAGTAACACTGATAAATTAGATCTTAGAATATAAGAAATGATTACGTCACAAGTTAATATTTTTAAACGTTAATAGAATAGTAATCAGTTAATATTAGATACAGGTTTATGCAAAGCAATTTTTTAAGCCGATTTTTTAACGTTTAATAATAAACTGATTCCACTAACCACAAAACTAGGGATATATGAACAATTGCCATTAACGGAATGTCTGTCGCGAGTTGCGAGCTCATGAAAGATTATTATATCTTAAGCAATCTCAGTACTCCATGCGAATTTATCACAGATGACTTATTAAAGACACCTAACCGCCATTTATAATTATACTAAATACACACTTATACAGTCTACTGTAGATAGCGTTTCGTGTAATATAGTCAAAATATTTATTTATTTTACATTTTATTGCACTTGTGTACATGGGCAGACTTATTGCCTTGGGCAAATATAGTACAAGATCCACTGTGTCGTTACGTTGTACATCAAGTTTCTTTCCTGACAGTTGCCAAAGAATTTTATGTTCCATTTACATCAATAAATTATATACAATTAACACGTGATTATTGCATCTGACGGCATAATTATTGTATTTTCGCAAAGCTAAGTTTCCGTTCTATTGTAAGATAGGTTGAATACTGGTTTTAAGCACCACACGATTCGAGTTATTGATGGCAACCCTAACCTATTGCTAACATTATACCTAAGCAGTACCCCTTTCCTACGATTGCATTTCATTCTCGTCTACATTTTTTTCCTAGGATTTACTAGGATTTTGGAATCGATGGCTTCCTACTACGAAACTTCGACATAACTTACAGTTGGCAAAACGTGAGCATTTAATATACCTTTGGTTACCCTTTCGGGGACATAGCCATTAGTTGGTTTGTTTTCTGAAAAGGATACGAAAATATTTCCACGTGTTTCTGTTAGCTGTGAACAATGGCTCAGAACTTCAGCGCGCGTGGGTGGCCTACTTCGCGTTTCTTTCTTGTTCTCAATTCTGTTGACTTGACAGTCAACTACCGTACGCATTACACAGTATGAATTGATTACACATTCATTAATAATTGTTTAATAATAATTATGATCAGGTATATCATGATTTCAAGGCGATAATTTTGTACTTATGTTATTCATGGCCATACTGTTGCTTCACATGTGTACTGAGCGCGACCTTCATGGCATTTACTGTTTAAAATAAATAATTATGTTGTACACATGTTGGCCGAGTCGGATTTAGAATAAATTATTATTGGTAAGTTGTGTTGTTCGTCAGTTGTTATTATAAAGTAGATGGTGGCGTATATAATTTGTTGTTAAAGTTTTGTTTTGTTTTATTGAATTGTATAACTTGAAGTATACGTGGGGTAACGAATTAAGAATACGGTGTGTTACCACCCCATATTCATCTTGTGGGTGTCGTAAGTAAGAGCCGACTAATGAAGCAAACTACTCGCCATATTAATTTAAATTAATATGTTCTATTAACGTAGAAGAAATAATTTGTCTATGTTTTTATTCAAATGTTCAGTTACGTTGTCCTTTAAATTTTTTCAAGATTATTAACTCATAAGAGCAATGCCTGCAACTCTATCTACTTATATGGAGATGTGCTAAATCAGAAAAAAACACTAGAATGAACTCGAGATATAATTCACCTTTTCGAATTCAAATCGAGTTGCGCTATTTGAGTTAGTAGAATATTGCTGGTTAAATTATAAGTAACAAATAAAGTTTTATTTATATTTATTCTTTTATTTAATTCTATGTTTGATTCATTAGAATCACTAAACTTCCATTGTCCTTCACAGAATATTAATATATTCTTTAAAGAATATTAGATATATAACAAACCTCACCATATTGCAGACACTCTAACAGTCTCTGAACTGTGCAGGGAACGGATAGACGAACTTAGCGAAATTATAACACTTAAGTTACAACTTTTTCATTATTAAAATTTGAACAAAAATTTTCAAATTTTATCAAGGATACAGCAATAGTGTGCATAGCACAGCATCACTATGTTTTGATATGATGCTTTTCCGCATCGACTCCCAATTCTCATGCAACATAATTATTGGCTTAATACGAATGGACGCTTCACAAAAATATTATGTTATTTAGAAACAAATTAATTAACATGATTCATGCTGAACGAAGAAAAAGCTGTCGATTTGTGTGGGATCACATCATAAGCAAAGTAATATTGTCTTTCTGATAAATGAAATGTGTGGAACCGTCAGACATTTAATTTCTTAAAAAGACAATATTCCAATGTAGCATGAATCCGATAAAATTCTGATGAAATACAACCTTAACTGATCAAAACCAATTAAGCCTTTCATCTAACAGAAAATAACATTTTATTTTAATTATGTTTATGTTGTGTCACGTTCTTAGTATAAAATCTATACAATCAATGGGGAAGCAGGCAATGAGAATTCTAAGTGAGAGAATTCTCTATCAAGTGACACTAAGTTACATTGCGATATCTATTTCAGCAGGCGTTGCTTGAATTTTAATGGCGCCTGACAAAAGGGTTGCGGCAATATATTGTATTTTGATGTTAGTTTTTGTCTTATACTGACTGACTTGCTTTTTCCCCTTTCTATGGACGCAAAATGTATGTTCTTATAATTCAAGGTAGATGATTTTACATAGTGATTACTGTACTTACAACTGCTTTTTACAATGGCGTTTGAATTTAGTTAACACAGTTAATTATATTATTAACTAGTTAATTTACATAAATGTTATAATTATAATTATTATTCTGTGGTGCGGTTTCCAACCCCAACGATTTTTGAATTCAAGTCGAATTAAAATTTAGATTTTTGAAGATGATATTTTCGAACTCTTATGAAGTTTGTAAATCCGAAAAGTAATTCGTGATCAACTTTTTTGTGATTGCCTTATATTAGCCACTGTCTAGCAGTGAAATCTATATTTTTAAAAATATGAAGTTGGTTTGTGTATGCTTCTAAAACTCAAAAAGTTCTGCATCGATGGAGCTCAAATTTTTACATGACATACAAACCGCTTAAAATGTTATTTTTATTTATTTTTCTCGTTACTGTTGTTCATTGTTTCTCATCAATGTGTCATCAACCACAATGTGCCACAGCGAAGCGAGGCAGTGTACAACTACTCGCAGAACGACCTCCGTCCTCCATAAGCGCAGGCCTGGGGGTGACAGGTGAGGCCATCTGTCACCCTAGCAGAAGCAGGCCGGAGTGGCGGCAAGACGCGCTGACGACCGCGCGCGTCCTTTTGGGAGCACAAAGGGAACATGAGGGTTCACACACAGGAGGGGGTTATCTACACGCCGTGGATGGCCCGAGGTACCAGGGATTTCCTTTCTGGGGTACACTTGGTTCCCCGGTTCCCTAGTACCCGAAACGGCGTGCGGTTTTTGGTCGGTTCGAGTCCGAAATAATCACCCCACTGGTGGGTGATATCTGAGGGGATTTCCGCACAGGAAAAAAAAAGTGTACAGCTAGTACTTTATAAAAATATCTGAGGGGATTTCCGCACAGGAAAAAAAAAGTGTACAGCTAGTACTTTATAAAAATTATATCATCGGGAACCCTGTAAGTCATCTTAAAACTATTTTACGCAGGATAGTGATTCAACATCGAATGCACTTTCAAACAAAAAGATAACTTTATATAAATATTTATTTGTGTGATGATGGATAATTAATAAATTCGAGAAAATACTTTATTTACAGCTTAAAATTACGTCAATAATACACATAATTACGAAAAAATATCATGTATCACCGTAAAGACTGTGATCATACGTAGGTAGTTAGTCACAAAAATATTAAAAAGTTAGCTTTAAAAAATACAAAGTTCAGGTAAAGATTAAAAAAAAGAAATAAAAGGATTGCTTCTTTAGAAGCATTTAAAAGTGTTTCGCATACAGCGAGACTGTTACTTCAACCTACGCAATAAGTTTTTGTTCTTGTTTTTCTCTATTTAATCTTTCGGCGTCCTCTATCGAATCCGGCAAAGGCTGGTTCAAGGTTTCTGGCAATGTGAAGACGAAGATACCAGCTACGATAGCCAAGGTGCCAAAGAAAATTGAAGGTAGGTTTTCGTAGTACAAAGCCTATGGAAAGAAAAAGAAAAAAATATTGAAAATATATTCAAGGCAGAGGCAGAACCTAAGCCTAACCCATTTCTTATTTTTTTTTGTTTTGCGTGTAACTAATATTTCCATTCCCTGTTTATCTGACAACATGTACGCAAAACTACATGATGGAGTTTTGTCCCGTCCAGAAAAAGAAAACATACTTAATTTAAGATAACGCAGATCTGCTTGGCATTCTCTCAAAAATATTCTATAACTACATGGTTTTAGAAGTTTTTATTCTTAATTTCTCATAAATTAACTAATTTGGTTGTATCGTTGTCACCATCTTGATTGTGATGTATTTATTTACCTACTCTACCTACCTATATAACTAGTACCTTCATATTAAAAAAAATAACTGGCTGGTTTTTCGAACTAATAATCCGGGTAAAAGTATTACATAAAAAAAAACTTTGGAAAATAATGGTTTGTAGCATGTTAATGAAAAAAAATTGAACAGGTGCGAAAAACCTTTTTTTTGTTGAAAAAAACCCTAAAAACAGGGAAACTTTTTAATGGACAAAAAACACAAGTAGGCTGTAGTGTGAGAAAAACCGAAGAAATTGAGAGTTGCTGAAGTCAAATTCGTTTGACATTTTACGAGAAAACACGCTTTTATCTCGAAAAAAACGTGATTTTTCGCAATTCGTTTTCTTAGCTTGTGTGGCTCGTAGGAAATTCGTTAGGGGTTTAAATTATAGCCTTTAATATGGTTTTTTATTCAAAAAAAAAAATCATCGCAAAACAACTTTGAGTTGCTCCCCAATTTGCGAAAATGTAAAAGTAGGTGTTTCGGAAAAAACCGGGAGCGATCGGTAAAGAAAGCATCCTAAGACAATTAGTTGCCCTATAACCTTTGCATAATTATAAATCTTTGAGATGCATGACAGATCTGTAAAAACGCAATAAAATCGAGCGATTTTCGCAAGCGCTCCTAGTAGGCAGCAGAGGGAGCATAAGCTATCAATTTTTTTTTCAAGAACCCGGTTTTCGCACCTGTTCAATTTTTGTTTAAAAATTTGCCCCGAACTGATTTTTTTTCAAAGTATTGATCTTTTTAAAGTAATACTTTTACTCAAATTATCACTTTGAGAAATCGCCCAGTTATTTTTTTTCGATGAGAACTTTCTCAGTCTGTACTAAATTTACCAAAGGTAAGTTTTTATGTAAATAATTTATAAATCCTGTTAAAAAAAGTTGAACCGACTTCTAACTACGACGTACGTCTAACGACTACTAACAAAGCACGAGCACTAAAAATTAAATAAACGATAGACGAATAGGCCAACTAAACTCACTGCTCCAATGAGACAGCGAGTTTTCGTAACAAACAAAAATATCATCAATGTATGCAACTACACATGTATCACACACTAACAAATATTTAAAAAAAAACTTTACCAATAATGGGGTAAGGGGTGCCAAGGTAGATCCAACTCGCCCAGTTGACGAGCATATTGCTAGCAAAGATTGTCGAACATTCGTTGGGAAGACTTCAGATACGTAGATATAGACAGAGCTGTAAGCGACAGTGATTGAAAATTTGCCCGATAAATAAATGCTGAGACGCCACCAGTTTAAATCTGTAACAGAAGACAGAATGTTATAATCAGGAATATATACACAGTACAACAATGAGCATAATTATGTAATATAATATCTAATATCGACCACGATAACTTACTTTCACAAGGTTTTAAATAGACCTAGCCTAAATCATCAATCTAAGTAAAAGGGGGCAGACGAGCAGACGGCTCACCTGATGGAAAGTGTCTACCGTCTCTCATAAACGCCTGCAACTCATTGTAAATGTATTAGTTATTAAATATTATACTTATTTCATTTTCTTTGCTTTAATTTAAAGTAATTGTTGATATTTCTATTAATTTTGGTTTTACATTAGTTATTGTGATTTACTTTAATTTTCCTTAATTTAATTTTTAATATAATAATTTATAACTCCCAACTTATTTGTATCTTTTTTAATATTCTTTACTTAAAAGTCGTATTTAGAAATTGTGTACATGTAATTTGATTAAAATTATTACAGTATTATTGTTGTCTGTGAATGTTAACCTACAGAGTAAAAGAATGCAGTAAAGAATTAAAAAACGAAAAGTATGCACATAACTTATAAAATATAAGTATTTGAATACAATACCATTGCTTTATTTCTAACTAGATATAATGGACATTACAATTCATCGTGCGGATGCAACTGATAAAGCGTGTAGGGGTGATAATGCAAAACAATTTCATGATGCATTTAAAATATACTCTGTATATTTTTGTTTCATTTTATACGAGATTAATTGTACGTATGCTCTGATATTTGTGAATGATGATGGACAATTGATAAAATAGAATTTAAGAAGAAAGTTTTCTTCCAAGGTTTCGTTCAGTATGTATTGTCTAGCACAAAACAAAATATTCAAATTTAGAAATCACAAACGAAAGAATCACAGTAAGCACTCTCAATCTCCTAAAACCGATATTCATTTATTCATCAGAGTGTTGACAAAATAAACAATTTGGCAACGCCAAGTTTGTTAAAACCACGAAAATGATTTATGTTTTACTATTGCCGTCTTCAAAAGCTTTAGAACCGGTTTAACTTGAATATTCCATTAATTCAGCCTGTTATACAAACAGTGATTATTAAACAAACACTGCCTTAGCAAAATTCGTTTGTGTTTATGTTTGTTTCTATTAACTAGTGAAACCATAACGCTAAAAATTCGTGTGCTATTGACAAGAACTGCTAACTGGTGATCGTTTCGTTCATTTCTCGTAACGTGTGTGGCAACCATTATGGATGCCATAAACGCAACTAGAAATCGTTACGATCTTACTAGCCGTGTGCCAAGCGTTCAGTTTTGGCGTGGAACGCCTGTCGAACGGTTGTGCGTATCTCTGTAATTAAATGGCTCATCGTGAGTGGCTCAAAGAGTTTATTGATATGTATCGCCATGAAACTTGTTTATGGAAAATAAAATCCAAGGAATATCACAACCGTGAATTGAAAAAAATAGCGTACCGTAAGCTGATTGACAAATTGAAAGTTATAGATTCAAACGCCGATAAAGACGCTGTTGTTAAAAAAATCAACAACATTCGTTCTACCTACAAAAAGGAACGTAAGAAAGTCGCTGATTCGAAGAAGTCTGGGGCCGGAGCCACGGAAATTTATTCACCAAAACTGTGGTATTACGATTTGCTGCTTTTTTTGGACGACCAAGAAGAAGCAAAATCTTCGTGTTCTACTTTAGACACAAAGACAAAGACAGAAACTGATGTAAGTTCAGTGTCAGTATCTTCATACCTACAATTAGGGTTGCCAAATGACCGGTACATGTCCAGCCTGTCTAGTTTTTCTTAGGCTATAGTGTAAAGTTTGATATTGTTACCGTAAGTAAACCAAGTACCTATTTCCCAAGTTTTTGGGATCAGACTGCCGTGTAAGAAATGTGTGAAGTTATTATCCTTTGTAAATCATCCACCTAAATATATTACCTATTAACACTATTATTATTATATTAATTATTACAGGATGTTATTTATTCCAATAAATAAAAACAGCACATTATATTTTATTATCTGCCTTATGCAAAATATTAGTAAACAGAAAAAAAAAACATCAATGTATTCTTTTTATGTGTCCTCTTATTTATTTTTTCCAAGGAATGCTGCCTTTATTTATTAAATAGTTCATGAAATCCTCTCTTAACCGATGGATTACCAAATTTTTTCTTTCCTTTACCATGGAAAAATTCTTGGTTTCAAATCTTTTTAGTAATCTTTTGGATCCCTTATGACAACTTTTCCGTATCGAAGCATTATGTCTGAAAATATTGTAATTAAATAATCATGCAAAGCATAACTAGCCATATCACGACAGATTCTATTTTGCTCGGTTCAATATTAATTTTTGTGTAAAATATTAAAAATCAATATGCTAAACGCATTTTCGACTAAGCGTCGTGCTCGTTACACCCGGTAATTGAGAACTTTCTTTTCGCAAGTAGTCAAATCAGGGTGTCTAAGCGGTTACTAAATCTGTGGTCAGTGGAAACGCATCATCCGCAACGAATACAAAGGCAAACTCCTTGTTCTGTTTCTGACAGCTGTAGCGCTAAGAATACACAATTCATTTTTTAAAATACTCTGATCGAATGATGACATAGATGAAAACCTTCTTTCTAAGGAGAGGCCTATGCCCAGTAGACTACTGGACTACAGACTGTTAATAAATGCGGAAAATTCCATCTTTTTAAATGTTTTCATTCATTTTTCGAGAGTGCAAACTGTAAATAAATAGATTAAAATATTTCAGGAACTAATGAATGAAGATTCAGACTTATCTTCGGAGGCACTGTCAGCCACAGAGACACTACCAGCTACAGAGACACTGCAAGCGACAGAGTCATCATTAAACAAAATGTCCAGCGCTATATCATCTCCGAATCCCACAGTCGTTAAACGGCCAAGAAAAAGAAATGTAGAACTGTTCAACGACACTCTCACAACTGAAGTTTTACAAACTATTAGAGACCACCTTAAACGGCCAGTAGAAAATAAGGACCGATTCGATATTTTTGGGATGAATATAGCAGCAAAGCTCAGAGATCTTACAAAACAGCAACGCATTTTGGCCGAAAAACTAATCAATGAAACACTGTTTGAAGCCGAGATGGAAAATTTAACTATGACCCACCGAGTAACGGATTCAGCAAATACTCCCAATCCCCAGTCATAGCTTCATGGTATATAATCCCAGTGCTACCCCCAGCTCTGTGCATTATCAACATTTTGACACAGTTTCCTATTCCCAAAACAATCAACAAATACGTGTACCAAAACCTATCTGAAGTACAATTTTGTTTAACTAAAACAATTGTCAATTAATGGTATAATTTTGATTTGGATACAAATAATGCAAATTAATGAGTTATTTTGTGATAAAGTAATAAATCGTTTTTTATTGTGTTGTTTTTCGATAATTGGTAATATCATAAACAGCAAAAGTAAGTACGTATCAATATCCATTCTAAAAAAAATTGTGCCAGTATTTTGGAAACGTCTTCAATTTCTTTAATAAATCTACATGAGAACGAGCTACTCTTCATTAGCCAATCCTTACACCAGGTCTCAAGAGTTTTCCGTTTCCTGCTCGCCTGATTATTTCTTATTTTGTTTTTCCAACTTTGAAAATGATGACACAACCGTTAATCCCCTGTTTTACCCCCTCAGGGGTGAAATTTCCAAAAAATCTTTTCATATTGGATGCTTTCAATATAAAAAACATCAGCTGTCATAATTTACGTTACGGACACGTACTATTTATTAGCACAGTGCTACTGCGCAGTTTTATCCCACAGATTAATCTGAAGGTGTGTTTGAGATCCATTACAGTGTGTACAGTCGCATGTAATGTACAATATATGTGTGATCTTATGTGAAATCAAATACGAGTATGGCGTCCTTCCTCAGCTTCCTCGTTTTTATCACACACGCTTCGATTATCGGTGAAATTAGAATGGTACAGTGCGATTGTATAGATTTTTCGTAGCGTGTATGCCGCCCATAAAACAAATCTACAATGCTTTTAAAACAGTGTAAATGAAAGTTCCAACGGTTTTTCCCGTTTACTATATGTATACTATGAAGAATACTGACAGTTTACTTAAAATCTTATTTTAATAAGTAACATAATTCAACATCAATAGTCATATTCTGGATAATAACATAATCATAATTATTCTCAACTAAATTGAAAATCACTTTATTGCAGATGTGATTTTGTGGATGAATATACCTTCCTGAAAGTTTCCTGTTTCCGTTCCGCAGATTTAATTGTATGATGATCGGCTAAGTAGGGAAGCAATGAACAAATCTTCATTCACATTTATAATATTAGTTAAGACTTGTTAGACAATAGTGGAATGATTAATTTTGAATCCATGATGAAATGTTAGGACTTGCATTGGTAAGAGTGGAAATATTGATTCTATGCTGATTTAATTTATTTAACAAATCGGATGGTGAAAATAAGCCCCATTTCAGCATTTCCCTATTTAATTAGTAATTATTTATATTTATAAGTGGATTTGTACCCAAACGAACTATTATAAACTATGTATATATATACTATAAGCATAATTTGGTCACAGTCTAGAAACTTAACTTACCTTTTGGCAGGAACGATAAGCTGATGCACAGAATAGCGCTTAATATATAAGTGGTTATTAAAACTTTTTTCCTTCCAAATCTGTCCAACACAAATAGACAGCAGAAATTCGCTGGTATCTCAATAAAAGACACCAACATAAAATTCACATAAACATTTCCAGCTAATGAAACTGAATTTATACTTAATCCATAGTAAACAAAAGTGCATGTTATCCATAAAAAGGAACATGTCATTACTCTTTTTCTAATGATACTTGATCTCACTGCTCTCATGAATACGGATGTTTCTTCAACCTTATTTTGTCCAGGAGCATTCTCAATCTTTTGACCATCTAAAGTTTCTTTTTCTGGTCCATTTAATGGGGCAAGTGCTTGATCTGATAACTCTATTTTATTCATTTTTGCAGCCTTTTGCAAAATTTCTAAGGCTTCTTCGTTTCTGCCTTTGCTGAGAAGCCATCGTACACTTTCATTCAGAATCCACAGATATGAGAAAATAAAGCAAGAAGGAGTATACATGACTCTCAATAATGTTCGCCAATCCTTGAGTAACCAAGACAGTCCTGCTAGTGACATTAATCCGAATACAAAAACTACATTTATTAATGTATTCCCAAAGACTCTGCCCTTAGGACGTACGAGTTCCATAGCTAAAAAAAGTAAGTTAAGATTAGGCATCACTCAGCCCTTGCACAAGTATTTAAAAAAAAAAACTGAACTAATATAATAGATATTAAGCAAAATTATGAAAGCTAAATAATAAGGGGCTATGAAAACTTTATATCAGCTCAATAAAGAATTAAGAATTAAATACAATTCTAATGAAGCATCGCAGATTTGTTTAAATTAATAAAGACCAACCAGACCAAGTACCGACGCAAACTGTCAATTACTTAACAATATATTCAAAATAATAATAGCATTTGAGATGTGCTTAACCCTCTTGGGCTCGTTTAGCATGTCTTGCACAGCATGAAGACTATCATAGCCCACCACCTAGTCTATCAAGTACCTATTTGACTTAGCACCGACCTTCAAACAGACTAGAAGGTATATAGATACCTATAGATAGTAATAGTACTATTATAATGTTATATCGATAGTCCACTTATTTTGGTTTTTAAAAATTAGAATTGTAATTATTTTCTCATTTTTAGTGCTCTTTGTTAGCATTGTTTGAAGTCGGTTCAACTTTTTTTTTAAATTATTTATTGTTTTTAGCCTTATTGTTCTGATTGTCACATTAATGTGCCAGTATTTTCTCTTGATAGTTATATACAATGATAATACAAAAACTGATTTCAAATTATTGCAAATACAGAAATAAACTAATGTAATATAAAATAATTCTTACCTAACACAAAAGCAGTGGTATAGGCCCCTGCTCCACACGCAGCCTCCATAAATTCTAACGTAATCAACATGTAATAGTTGACAGAGAAAGATCTCAGCAAACCAAATATACCATTCATAAGGGCCGCTACAGATAAAGCCAGTTTTCTCCCATACTTGTCGGATATGATACCAGTTAGTGGTAGGGAGATGAAAAGGCCTGCATTGTGAAACGTGCCGATCAGAGTTCTCTTCCAATTTTCACAGCCCAAGTTAAACTGAAACAAAGTGGCTTGTGAAATTATTTCATTTTTACTATTTTATAGCGTTTCTGCAATTAAGAATGTAATAAAATCTTAGTTTCATTTTAAAAACTTAAATAATAAGAAAGAAATTCTAACTATGTAGTTCGGATGACAATAATAATTCTGTTGGTGTCAAGCAAGAATGTTTTAGTAGAACTTTTCAGTAGTTGCCACTAAGTCCTTCAGCATTCGTGTTTTTTTTATGTTAGAGGGGACAGACGAGCAGACGGGTCACCTGATGGAAAGTGACTGGCGACGATGCCCATAAACGTCTGCAATTCAGGATTCACAAACGCGTTGCCGGCAAAGGTTTGAGTCGTATCGGTTCGGAAACACCGCAGACGATAACCCGTTCCACAGATTGGTTGTGCGGGGCAAAAAGTGTTTCGAAAAGCGCACAGTAATGGAGTGCCAACTATCCAGGTGATGGGATGATCCGGGAATTGCTTAGCCCAGTTTTCTGAGAGCCCGTAGTGTTGTTTCGTTGTTTCGTTTCGTTGCGTCGCCAAGTTTTTTTTTTAAGGACAACTCCTGCATTATGAATATATCCTGTGTCGCGGGGGACTTTACAAAAATACATGAAACAAACACAAAGAACATCCAGACTCAGAACAACAATTTGTGGATCACACAAAGTGTCGTAATAGGAAGGGGTGTAGCGACCGCTTAAACGCCATCCATGCAGTTTGAGTGCCCTCTGTCAAGAGTATGGGTAGGCAATATATGCTTAAGCATGGCTCCCACTGATAATATTTATTGACGCATACAGATATTTGCACTGAGCTGAAATCGAACTTGCAACACCCGATGGAGGTTATCATTACTTTTTGAATTTGTGAAAAATCCGAAAAACACTCATAAATTACGAAGATATCTAAAAAGGAATCCAAGATAAAATAGTGGTAAAATAACTAAAAGGGCTATTTTGCACGTTAGACAGCTTAGTGGTCGATTCGCACAAATATGTTTGCACACTTTGTGCGATACGATCCTTTTTAAAATTAATATTTTTTATTGGTTTATCACACAACTTGCCACAAACTGAATTTATCAGTGTGCGAATCGACACCTCTAGAAAAGTGTGGTAGTCACCAACAAGGTGAATCATTTGGGTTAGATGAGGTTATAACAGTATGATGTTGCGGCCAAATTGGTTTTGACTGACCAGTTGACTGTGATTTTTTCTTAAATATAGTGGATAGGAATTTTAATTGAGAACTATTTCTATTTATTTTTCTTCTTTAAAAAGACATCTCCCGCACTAGGAAAAAATCCTGTGTCGCGGGGGACTTTAGAAACATACACGAAACAAAGAACACCCAGACTCAGAACAACGATTTGTGAATTACACAAAGTGTCGTCCCATGTGGGGATCGGACCCACAGCACTCAGCGTAGTAGTGAGCGGCGTGGCGACCGCTTAAACCACTACACCATCCATGCAATCACTTATTATTGTTGAATAAGAATATTTGCCACAAATATACATTTTCTTGCCTTTATTTTAATTATATTCATCACTTTATGCGCTACTGTACCAGTTCCTAAATAAATTTTCTTTTATAATGTGTGTGAATCGCCACCACATTTTGCGGCGTGTGTGCGGACAAATATGTGCGAATCAACCACTAAGCCCGTTAGAAGATTCCTAATTTCATAACTGCAGTAGGCTGATTGAAGGTAACATAGCGTGATATATTTGCAATACACTGAACGAATTTAGAATGTTTAAGTCCAATAAACATAAAATAATTATATTCTTATCGTATATAGTAATGCATTCGCTTCGCTCAACACACGACATGTGCGTGTCTAATGTAAATAAAGTATTTTGTAAACGACTCCTCAATGTGACTAATCGGTCAATTGATAAGCCCCAAGTATTTGTTACTTTATCAACTCTATTCTCAAGAGGAAACAAAATACTGTATGTACTGTTTAGTATAAGACTTTTTTAATAATATGATAGCGTTTACCGGTCAGAAGAAATCGAGCAGACATCTGCAATAAACTACCTCTTTTACCTCATAAAGGCTATGCAGTATGACTGATTTCAGGTGTGCCTTGGACCCGACCCGATCAAGGAGTGGTGAGAGTGTCAGTGACCTTTTGTAGGTGCATAGTCGACAGGCCTGTTGGTCTACTGGTTAGTGACACTGACTGCTAAGCCGGAGGTTGAAGGTTCGATTCCCACCCATGAACAATAATTGTATGATGAGCACGATCATTTGTTCTGTATCTGAATGTAATTTATCTACAATATGTATGTATGTAAAAATATTTAAGTATGTTTATCAGCAGTTTGGTTACCATAACACATGCTCGCTTAGTTTGGGATCAAATGTGAGATGTCTGAGGTTATTACTATTTGTGTAAAACGTCTTTTCAAAATATAAATGATATTAACGTAAGTTTATTTTTTAAATTAATGATCTTTACTTAGAGAAACGAGACGTTGTATGCACATCTGGAAAGTGGCATGTTGAGAATTGATTAGGGAATCAATTTCGCTAATCTGTATTGTCTGTGTGCCCATTAGCTTCGTACCACATGGGTCGTCAAGCACTCTGTTCATATCAATTAATCAATCTGTTGCCCTATTGCAGTTCACTGCTAGACATATGTCTATTGAAATCTATACCAAAGGATTTATTCACCGTAAAAATATTTTAATAATGTCTTGGCTTATTTAAATACTCTCTTACAGTTTTTTCTTTTTATGTTTGTTACAGGCTTATGAAGTACTAGCTTTTGCCCTCGGCTCTGTCTGCGTGTATGTCGGTTATCGTAGTTAAAAGTAGTATATGTCCTCCCCTACAACTCTCTCCACTATTTTTTTTTGATTCCCCATATAAACTTCCACTTCCCTTTTCACCCCTTAAATAATGATTTCTGAGATAAAAACTATACTATGTCCTTTTCCAGGACTCAAACTATCTCTATACCAAATTTCATCTAAATCGGTTAATCGGTTTAAATGTGAAGAGGTAACAGACAGACAGATATACACACTTTCGCATTTATTATAATATATTATATTAAACATTTTTTACATTAAACATTATTATCACATTTAAAGTATCATCATCATCATCTAAAATATAAAATTCTCGTGTCATGGTGTGCGTGGTTGAACTCCTCCGAAACGGCTCGACCGATTTTCGTGAAATTTTGTGTGCATATCGGGTAGGTCTGAGAATTTTAAATAATGTAAATGGTAAAACAACGTTTGCCGGGTCAGCTAGTTAAATTATAATATTAGCTAAAAGGTGATTGAGTTTATTGTCATATATATATATATATATATATATATATATATATATATACATATATATAACATATGTATATATATATACGGCCAGTGCAATATTCAGAGATTACTATGGTAAAAAGACTGCTGATAAACATACTTATGTATTACTAAATACATACATATTATAGAAAAAATACACCCAGACACAGAAACACTTACATACTTGACTTACACACTTAATTAACTTGTTTTTTTTTAATAAATTATAGTCCACCCTTCAACTAAAGATTGAAATAAAAGAATTATTTTACTGCCTCGGTGGCGCAGTGGTAGCGTTTGCGACTGCTGTGCTGAGGCCTCGATTTCGATTCGATCCCCGGGTCAGACTCAAATGTTTGTATGATCTGCAAACATTTGTTTCGGAGTTTGGGTGTTTTCTATCTATAATATGTATGTATTTAGGAAAAAAAAGTATGTACGGCTAATCGAATGAACTGTATTTGCATTTCCAATTTGCGGTTTGTTTTGCAGAAATATTTTACACAACTACAAAAATTTTATAAGTTCTTATTTACTCCACTATCCATGGAGAATATGAAGATACCTCTAGCTATACAGGGAACATTAAAAAATAAAGGGGATTTAGAAATTCTTAGTCATTATCATCATCTGCCTGCCCTTATCCCAATTGGATTTGGGGTCGGCCCAGTAAGTATGATTCTTCCATTCTGCTCTATCATGCGTCATCTCACTGTTTCCCTTCCTAGCTATATCCTCACTCACACAGTCCATCCACCCTTTCTTTGGTATTACTCTTCTCTAGCACCCTTCAAATCTCATACTTAAAACTTTCTTTGCCACATTTTCCACATCCCTTCGCATGACATGCCCATACCTAGATAACTTATTACTTCTTAACTTTTCATCCAGACTCCCTCGTATATACTCATTCCTAACCTTATCCAGTCACACCACTCATCTATTTCAGCATAAGCATTTCGGCTACGTTCAGGCGTCTCTCATCAATTGTCTTGATGATAGTTTTATAAATTTGTCCCTTCAGTGTTAAGGGGAAACTGGGGTCACAAATTGTTCCCGTTACCTGCCGCGATTTCATCCTAAAATTTAATATTACGCTATATAATATAATTATATAATATATTTAACGCAATACAACATAATTTCACGATAAAATTATTATAGAGATTTGAATGGAAGTCACGTGACGGTATTTTAGCGGGCGACTTTCATATAAACAATCTACACACCACAACCGACTGCATCATTGTCTAATGGCAGACCATCAGCTGATATTATAACTGTAATTTAATAAAGAAAGCCAATAAAAAATTACTATTAATCTTAATACCATCTTTGTGAGCCCAATTCAAAAAAATAAATAAAAAAAACAGTTACACTCACATCTCTGACCACGGAGTCACCATTATATATAAAAGAAGAGCACTTCTCTTGTACAGAAGTATTAAAAGAATTTGAATCACAATTTTTATTACTACGTTTAAAATTACTGGTGAAAGAATATTTTGAGCATTTTGAGTGTCCAGTCTTTAACTGTGGAATGGCGAACTGAAGCCACGAGGTATCGTTGGTGATTCCATCGCAGCCGACGATGTTGCATCTGAAACAATCGTAACGTTATTGAATTTTTTTATTCTTGTTGACATAGTTATGCTTGGTATTTGCGTTGTCTGGTATCGGCTTATTTCTATTGATTTAAATTGAAAAGGGTTGGTCCTTTTATGGAAAGTTACAAAGTTGTTTTTTTCCTAGACTCAAAAGGAAAACGAAACTCTTATAGGATCACTGATAGGTCCCTTTGATCACTTTATCTCTTAAAAAAAAACAAACTATAAGTTAACATAAAAAAAATCGGGTAAACCGTTTATGCCACAACCCACATTTCGATACTCTCAATGGAATTAAAATTCATAGGGTACTTCCCGTGGACCTAGAACTATGAAATTTGGCAAGTAAAACTATATACGAGTATAACTATGTGTATAAACTACAAGTTCAGGGAAAAATCTGACAACTAAACAATTGTAATTAAATTTTAAAAATATAGTGTTTATTCAAAGTACGTAATCAATCATCGGGGTCAAATTTCACTTAAGTTATAATAGGTTTTAGAAACTGAATTTTTGAAAAAGCTTGGAAAAAAACTGCGAGACTCAATTTCTAAATTATTTAAAAAATATCTAAATTATTTATGTACCTACAAATTTGAACGGCACCTTCGGTGGGTGAGTCCGACTTACACTTATCTGGATTTTATTTGTTTTATGTAGGATCAAACTTTGTGATGCCGAAGTCGAGGCTCGTACTCGCTCGTACTCATACGTTATTATGCATAATATAAATATAAAAATCCGTCCATATAAGGTCTGTGTGGTGACGGATTATGAATACAGAGTGTCACCACCCCTATTCATCCCGCGGGTGTCATAAGAGGCGACTAAGGGAGAAAACAATGCAGAACAACAGCACTGCAGAGAGAAGGAAAACTCGACACAAACCCTTTTTTTTTTTTTTTTTTTTTTTTTTAACGTGTGGAAATCCCCTCGGACCGTCACCCCTCCGGGGTTTGCGGCGGGGTGGTGTGTCGGACTCGGACCGACTAAAACCACACGGTGTGCCACTCTGCGCCTGTAACAGGAGGGATCCGGGAACAGCTGTTGTTAAGACATCCGGACCTCTCCTAGCGCCAGCCCGCTCCTGGTGCGGGCTCCGTCTCAGTGTTATTCCTCTCTATAGGCGACGTCCGGCACACGCGGACGCCGCCCCCTCGCGGCTGGCCAACTAATGCGGGTGGAGGGGAAACCCACCCCGTCCACCCGCGGCCACACTCAGGGCGGCATGAGGCTGTGATAGCCGGGCCTCCGCCGCCCGGTTCGCCGGCGGCGGATCGGGTCCGAGTGGAGGTCGTCCTCCCGGGCCCTCCCCGCCGCCTCCTTCCGCGAGATTACTACCTCGCAGAAGGTTGCGACCGCGGTAAAACAACTGTCGCTACCGGCCATGGAGCGTACTACGGCCGGTAGCGAGAGATCCACTCCGATGACTGCAGTGAGGGCCCGGCGCTGCGCCGCCCATGCGGGGCAGACCGCCAGCGTGTGCTGGGCCGAGTCCTCACTGCAGTCGCAGTGGTGGCAGGCGGGACTCAGTTCCCTCCTAGCGACCGAGTGCAGGTACTTACCGAAGCAACCGTGCCCGGAAAGCACCTGCGTCAGCCGGAAGGAAAGGGTCCCGTGCTGCCGCCCTGCCCACTCGGCGATGACCGGCTGGAGAGCCTCCACGGCGGCGAAGCCAGCGCGTGGAGTCTCCAGCCGGAACGACCAACGAGCCATCGTGGCTCGGCGAGCGGCTTCGCGCCACTCGCGCACATCCTCGGGCGGAGGGCGAAATCCGCTCTCCGCCCGGAAGTCAGCCACTCGCCGATAAACTTCGGCGAGCACTTCCGCCTCCAAATCCCACGGGGGAGTTCCGGCCAATGCGCATGCCACCTCCGTCGAAACGGTGCGGTAACCGCGTATGGCTCTGACCGCCATTACCCTCTGAGGGCGCCAGAGGCGTACCCTATTCTGGGCGGTCAGAGCCGCCGCCCACACCGGTGCACCATACAGTGCCATTGACCGGACAACCCCCGTGTACAGCCGTCTTGTCGCGACGCTGGGTCCACCCATATTGGGCAAGAGTCGCCCTAGGGCAGACGCAGCGCCGACCAGCTTTGGAGCAAGCTGTCGGAAGTGCTCGTCGAAGAGCCACCTCCCGTCGAGGATTAGGCCCAGATATTTCATCTGGGCCCGAACCGGTACGAGGACCGAGTTGACCACGATGGAGGCGCCAGGGGGTGGACCACGACGGGGCCCATGAAATAACAGGGCCTCCGTCTTATCTAGGGCCACCCGTAAGCCCAGCGCCTCAATGCGCCCGACCACCAGGGAGACTCCCCCTGTGGCCAGGCGCGCCGCCTCTTGGAAGTTTGCCCCCCGGGCTGTCACCAGGGTATCGTCTGCGTAACAGATTACACCCAGCCCGGGGGGGAAATCGGCGCGAAGGGCCCAGTCGTACCCTATGTTCCACAAGAGGGGTCCAAGAACAGACCCCTGTGGAACACCGCACGACATGGGCCGACACCTCAGATTACCTTCTCGGTCCTCGTACACGACGGTACGCTCCTCTAAATAGTCTGCCACTAGCCGCCTCAGGTACTTTGGCACCCCATGATAGTGGAGTGCTTCCCTGATGCAGCTGAATGGCAGACTATTGAATGCGTTGGCGATGTCCAATGACACCGCCAACAGCACGCCGCCACAGCTCACGGCCTCTTCGGTCACGGCCCTCAGGCGCAACACGGCGTCGACTGTCGAACGCCCCGCCCGAAAACCAAATTGGGCGTCCGACAGATCGGGGCCCACCTCGCAGAGGTGCCGGACGATGCGGGCAGAAAGAACCCTCTCAAACAATTTGCCCGCCTCGTCCAGCAGCACGATGGGCCTATAGGCCGCGACCGAATCGGCTGGCCGTCCCGGCTTCCTCAATAGGACCAGCTTCCCGCTTTTCCAGCACTCAGGGAAGCGTCCCGACGCCAAGCTAGCGTCGAACACCTCCCCGAGGCGGTCTGCCATGTGGTTGAGGGCCAGGGCCAGCACTCGGGCCGGTACCCCGTCTGGCCCAGGGGCGGTGTTCTTGGAACGGATCCGTAGAACAGCCGCCCCTACCTCCGAATCCCGGACGGGCGGAACATTGTCCTCCCCGTGCTCCCCGTCGTCTCCGGCCAGGGAGGCCATCGACGGGGGAGTGTGTTCCGCTCGTTGTGGGAAAAGGCCCTCAACCACTTCTCGCAGGAAGCTGGGCTGGAGAGTCTCCGTAAGGGGGGGGCCCGACGCGCGGAGCTTTTGTCGCACCGCGCGGTAAGGGCGACCCCAGGGGTCACGATTAAGACCCTCCAGCATCTCCTGTCTTTTTTCCTCTTTGGCGCGGCTAATGGCCAGCTTCAGAGTTTTCCGCGCCCGTCGGTACTCCTCATGAAGCCGGTCCTCCTCACCGTCTCCACGGTGACGCCGCCGACTGCGCGTGTAGGACCTCCGGGCACGTGTACAGGCCGCACGGAGGTCCGCCAGCTCCTGGGACCACCAGTAGACCTCCTTCCTTGGAGGCCGACGACCTCGAACGCGGGGCATGGCCGCATCGCATACATGCGTAATCGCATCGCGAAAGCGGCCAGCCCCCACGTCGACCTCCTCGGTCGGAGCCTGAGGAGACAGCCACGAGTGAATTATGGCTGCCTCCTCTAGTAGGTCCCGGTTCAGCCTGGCAACAGCCCACCGCGGAAAGCGGGATAAACGCCGCGCCACGTGACCCCTACTGGAGTCCTGGGTCCGGGAGAGCTCAAATCGGATATACAGGTGATCCGAGAGCGTCTCAACCTCTTCCAGGACACGCCAGTTCCTTACTCGTGCGGCGAGGGCAGGGGTAGCGAACGAGAGGTCCACTATCGACCCCCCCTGCTGTCGCACGCACGTGTTGGTGGAGCCTCTGTTTAGAAGACAGAGGCCCACCGAGGCCGCCCACTCCTCTACGGCCTCGCCCCTGGCGTCCGCCCTGGGGGAACCCCACGCAATGGACTTTGCGTTGAAGTCCCCCAGCACAAGGACGTGCCCAGACGCTAGTCGCCGTATCGAGGTCTCCAAGCTGGTTAGGAAAACCTCGAAGTCGTTCAAACTCCGGTTGGGGGAGAAATAGACACCATATATGGTGATCCCCCCCCACTCGACGGCAACATATCCAGTGCCCTTGTCTCTTAGCGACAAGGGCGGGGAATGAGCCGTCGTGGAACCGACGACTAAACCCTATACCAACCCGTCTGGCCAGCGTGGTATAGTAGATAAAAACCTCCTTTCTAAGGAGAGGCTTATGTCCAGCGGTGGACTGTTGGCTGTTGATGTGATGTGATGATGTGAAATATAAAAATATAAGGTCATTCCGAAAAAATCTTTTCACTTTTCACTTTCTGAACTTCTCATTTTATTTAAACCCTTTTCAATCGTCGAATATCAAAAGCCTATTTTATGTTAACATTTTCATTAAAACCTGTGACATTATGTGGTTTTTGTGATAAAAGCTCCAAATTGTTCTATATAGGTTCGTTGTTGTAGAAGTATGGTAAGTAGAGTTACCCAATCGATTCAATAACACTGAAACTCGAAAATATCTGCATTAATAATAATAATAAATCTATTACGAGATGTAAAATACATGTGTCGATGTGTTGATAGACGTAATAATTAATATCTGTCAGTGGGTGATGATTGATTGCGTGAATTGCCGCCCTCTGTGAGCGTCTTGAAAGTGGTTCATGTAACTTGTGGGATTTGTGAGACAGTAAGTAGGAATAAATATATATTTTAAAGGAAATATTTGACGGGAATGTTTACAAAAAAACATTTCGAAAGAAGGTACATGAAATTTGGAATGTTTAAATTTCATTTGTAGAATTGTCTTCGGATATTCACGCGTTTGATAACTGCTCGTTGCCCTATTTTTTACTTCTACTTGATAAGTGGTACGATGTTTTTATCTGACCTTAATTTCACTATTGTTTAAAATATTATTTTTTGA